CACCACCACCACTACCAACAACAACAACACCACCACCACTACCAACAACAACAACACCACCACCACTACCAACAACAACAACACCACCACCACTACCAACATCAACAACACCACCACCACTACCAACAACAACAACACCACCACCACCACCACTCACCATCTAGACAGCCACCAGTCACTGCCCACATAAAACACCTGTGCAGCTATGTTCACCAGCACAAGGAAGGTGAACTTTAACACGCCCGTGCCCGCCTTGAAGTACTCGAGGTACACGCCAAAGCCAACCGTGCCCGACGCGCGTTCTTCCTGCTCCGGCAGCTGGACCGGTTCCGGCTGAAAAGTAGAGGTGAAGAGGTTAGGACACAGATGTTTTACTGATTAATGTTTTAGCTTTAGTCAGAGTTTTGCGGTACTTGCAACACAATAAGGCCATATAAGCGTCAAAGATTAGAAGTGTTACAAAAGAGTAGCAAACATAAAAAAGAAGGAGGAGAGATAAAGACGATAGATGTTTGATAGGAAAAAAGAAGCAAACCACACCAGAGCACCTGCCAACCATCCACACCGAGACGTTTTACTGCTGATAAACGTTTGAGAGGCATTGTGGTGAAACATGCGCTCGTCAAAATAATAAAATCAAAGAAATCCTTTAATTTTTCTTGGATGGGAGGGGGGAGGGGGCCTCAAAATCACTTTAGTCCATTTAAAAACTTATTTCTGCATGAAATTGTACAGGCAAACGTTGATCAAAGTCACAAAAAAATGTAAATTTGCAGTTTCCATTGACACTCAAGATTTGAAAGTCACCTTGGCAGCCATTTTCTCTGACAACAGGCAACCTCCCCTCCAACATAACAACAGCAACAACACCACAAACAAAACCAAAAAAACCCGACAACAACAACAATAACAGCAACAACGCTCTCACCTCGTAATCATCCACCATACTGTGCAGCGACATCTGAGATCCCAGATCCTGTACATCTGGCATGGGCGGCACAGCGACCTCCTCGGGCACAGAGGTCAGACCTGGAGAGACAGCCTCCTCCCCCTCCTCCTCCTCCGTCTGCTTCAGCAGCTCCGCGAAGTCCACGCCGGACTGGGAGAGGTCGTCGTAGGAACCCTGACTCTCTATCTTACCCTGGTTACGGGAGATAATATTGGATAAGACAAGATAGGAATATAATATAATGTAGATAAAATAAAATGAAAACAAAGATTTTAAAAAGATATAAATAAGACAACCAGCTCAGCAAAAATCCACGCCCGACTGGGAGAGTTTATCGAAGGCACCCTGGCTCTCTATCTTACCCTGGTATGAAAGATAAGACAAGATAAACAAACACAATGAACATGTATATAAAATAAGATAACGATAAGATGGGGAAAAAGACAGAGATAAGACAACCAGCTTGACGAAATCCACGCCGGACTGGCTCTCTATCTTACCCTGGTTAGGTGAGATAATATTGGATAAGACAAAATAAGAATACATTTATATAAGGTATAAGGTAGATAAAATGAGATTTAGAAAAAGAAAGAAAAAAGACAAACAGCTCGGTGAAATCTGTGACCCGGGGTAATGTCAAAGGAACCCTGGCTCTTTATCTTACCCTGGGTGACAGATTTCCAGATGTTGATATAGGACAAGATTTGAAAGATAAGGTGAGATAAGAATTACTTAACATAGATAAAATAAGATGAAAAGATATTTAAAGAGAAAAAAATAAGACAAACAGCTCAGCAAAGTCCACACCACCCAACTGGGACAGAAGTTTTTTTTTGTTTTAGAAGAGGTTTTACAGCGCTCGCAAATGCATAAGGTCACATGAGCGCCAGGACAGAAGATTAAACATAATGATAATAAGAAAAGATGAATGAATGAAGACTAGACTTGTAATACTGAACAAGAAAATTATAAGAGAAAATTAAACAAGACTAGGTATGAAAACATCAGGTCAGATTATATCAGATACGATCAGATAAGATAAATTAAGATAGGAAAAGATTACTTAAGATAAGCCAAATATATCTTGCGGATAGACATTTCTTATCCCTAGTATCAGAAATTCTGGAAAAAGTAATTTCAAGCCCCCCCATACAGAAATTACTTGACCCAGAACCACATTTGGTGAGGGTGCCTCCTTTATTCTGGTTGGCCGACTTAGGTCCCCATATCGTTACCCATGAAAGACACATAACTTATTTTCAGGAAAATTATTTGGGGGGGTGGGGGTGTGTGTGTGCATGCAAGAAGCTCAAATTAACTTTATTCACTGAAAGCTCCCTGCCTTTGAAAGATCAAAAGCCATAACCCGGTTCAACCTCACCATAACCGTCTCACCATAACCATCTCACCATAATCCTGTTCACCCTCAACATAAACCTCTCACCATAACCCTGTTCACCCTCACCATAACCCTGTTCACCCTCACCTCTTTCAGAATAAAAATGTTGTCAGCTACAGGCAAGAACTGGACTTGGTGAGTCACCAGAATTCTCGGCTTGTGCTTGAGGTAGCCCACAATGCATCTGGGAAAGAGAAAAGTGAAAGATGTAATTTTGTTTTTTAAAGACGTCTTAAAAAGTTGTGTTCATTAGAGGCACAAGTTTACGCAGAGTCAGCACTTAATGGCAAGAAAAGATAGGGATAGTATGGGGGGGTGAGTGGGTT